ACCCACTGTAAGCCTACTTACCTCCGGTTGAAGCCATTCAAGTCAAACTGTCTGTAGCAAATCGCGCCAGACCATGGGTCCATCCGCACCACCAACGTTCCTCCGCTTTAGTGAAGGTAAGCTATCCATCCTACTCTAAATTTCAGAAATTTTGAGGGATTTTGTTTCCTTTTCAATACCAATCAGGTAATCATTCTGTATGAATGGATTGGATGGATTGAAGCACCGGGGAGTTGATTGGAGTGGCCTGTACCAGCATGGAGATTATTTCTTTGCTCATCAGAGGCTGTACATTATTGACCCTGCTTGTGGTGATCAACCTCTCTACAGTGAAGACAAATCAATTATTTTCACGGTAGAGTCGCGTCATATGTTTTTAAATTTTGTATAGTTTAATTTATTGAATATTTGAAAAAATAGATAAAATTTTCAATTTTCGATTAGTGATGTGATGTTTGTTTTGAAAATCATTAGGTGAATGGAGAGATTTACAACCATGCAAAGCTGAGGAGCCGTCTGCCAAATCAGATTTATAAGGTCTGATTAGTTATAAATGAAATTACTTTTCATTCCCAATGACCTTATTTATCGTTTTTCTTAATGGATTAGCTGAACATGCGGTAGATGCTGACTTAAAATCAAATATGAAAATGTTTTAGGATTTGATTCCAATTTGTTTGATTACTTTGCTTTTCGTAATTTGTTTTGCTTATCGACAAATGGAGTACTGATTGGATGAGACTAAACATATTTTTGTAACCAGTTCGTAGTTTTACCATCCTAGTTTTGATGGAATTGGAGCTTTCAGTAAAGGGTTCTGATGTAATTGGAGTTTTGAGTAATGGATTTTTTTTCAACAGTTAAAAGTATCATTTTTGATTCATTTATTAGTAAGATATTATATATAGCTCTACTAGGAAGGCCACTGTATATGTCTTCGTCCTGTTAATTATATATGGCTCTTGATGACAACTGAATTGAGTCTAAATGAAAACCAACCAAGCTGCTGATCTTACCAACCCAGTCACTTATCTTACCAACCCAGTCACTTATCTCTTGCTTATTTATATTATTTGTAGATGAGTATGTTGCTGAGTGATTTTCTGAGATTCACTCAGCTCAAATATGTTATCTAAATCGCTATAAATGAGAATGTGATTACGTTCCTACCATCATTTTGCGTACTTTCTGTGAAAATTATTCATGCCTTATTTTACTGAAACCGAACTCATCTATACTTTGTTTGTTTATGATTATGTTGAATTTTTTTTCTAGGTTAAATATATCTTATTCATGTAGTTAAGGCTGGTGCATTCAAATCCTACAGTATCGTGCAGACCAATTTACTAGTTGCTTCTAAAACAATAGGAGTGGACATGTTTGGTATACTCGTTGGATTCAAAATTTTATTTTAAATAATGATGAATGTAGCTTTGTGCCATTTTTCTTGTCGATGATTTTTAAGGATTTTGGCTCCTATCACGTACATATTTTTGGCTTCTGCAATCCCAGTCATTTCATTTGGTGAACAATTGGAGAGAAGTACTGGTGTTTTTTCGCAACTCATCAACTGCTCCACCTCCAAGTCTTAGAAATTATTTATTTATTTTTACTTGTTTCTGTATAGTAGTATTCAGGGTGATAATTTGGTTAACTTACACAATGAATTAGTCAATTAAATATACTCATTTCAGACTGTGAGACTTTTCGCTATAAGTTAATCTCGTATTAGATTTCCAATTCACAACATTAATAACTCCTTTTCAACTTCAAGGGCATTGCGATATAAATCATATTTATTGTTGTTCTCTAAAGGTCTCTGATAGAGATTTTACCACCAGAAAAAACAAGGGTTAAGCCATTGAAAATTTTTGCAAGAAAATAAGTTTTTGTAGTATAGAATGGCTCAAGCAAGGTTGATCTCCTTAGGGACTGGTATAAACAATTTACGAGTTTTTGGATTATTTGACTTAATCAACTCTAAGAATTGCACTGATTTGACAAAACTGAAATCTACTGTGCGTGACTTAACAAATTTAAAATGGGAATTAGCTTATAGAAATAGCGATCCAACTAAACAAAACAAGTAAATGTAGAAACTCAAGATAAAATAAATAATTGAAGAAAATTAGATTGACAAGCTCTTCCAATTGCTTAAATAAATGAAAACACAGATGTTTTGAAGGTTGGGTTTTTCCTTGTGTAGTTTTACTTGTGACATTCAAGCTAAAATGCATAGCATTACGTGCAATTCATCCATGAAATTTATATTAAATACAAACATGAGTGATTCATTAATCTTGGTAATAATCTTTTTGATAAACCATGTAATCCCTGAGAGTATGATATTTACCTTAGGAGAAATTACAATCCTCAATCATAAGAAGCATAACCAATTTTAACTTACATTCATTCAAAATTGGATCCGATGACTTTTCTAAGTATCCTAATGATGATCAAGCATCAAGGCACATAAATAATTTAATTCAGTGACTAAAAATATCAAGGTAAGCATGTAACAACACTTAAGCAATTAAAAGAGAAATCTACTTAATCATGTTGAGACTCACTGCCTCGTTCTAGCAAAAGAAAATTAGTTACACATACTTGTTCCATTACACAAGGAATTATCCATTAAATCAAAGAAAGAAAACACCCCTGTTTTTACGAGATGAGCTATTAGATCTTCTCCTCAAAGAAATGAGAAATTTTTTATTGTGACGGAAACACGGATGATACATTATATGTTTTTATATTAGTGGTGGAAAATTTTATTTTTTAAGTTATTAATTTTTTAACACACAAATCCATTATTTATATAATAATATATAATGTACCATCTCGTGTATCAATCACATTAAAAAACATCTTCAAAGAAAGGAGCATGCTTTTCTTCTCTTCAAAGAAAACTTAGCCTGCTTTTGTGTCCAATCCCACATCATTTGTCATCATGATGTCCCAAATTAATGGCCCTCCTTCTCTTTTTTGAAAGAATCGTTCCATCTCCGAAAACCAATTCCTTTGCCTTTGAAAAATGACAAAAGCAAAGGAATCTAGCCTTTCTTTTTCTGCGAACATAATCATGATGTTCCCTCATCATTCCTCATCATCACATGCTGCATCCATTTAGCAGAAGACAAAATTGAATCTTTTCTAAGCATCATAATGATGATCAAGTATCAAGGCACATATATAGTTTAATTCAGTTATTGAAAATATCAAAGTAAGGATGTAACAACACTTAAGCAATTAAAAGAGAAATCTACATAATCATGTTGAGGCTCAGTGTCTCACTCTAGCAAAAGAAAATTAGTTACACATACTTGTTCTATTACACAAGGAATTATCCATTAAATCAAAGAAAGAAAACACCCCTGCTTTTACGAGATGAGCTCTTCGATCTTCTCCTCAAAGAAATGAGAAATTTTTTATTGTGACAGGAATACGGATGGTATATCACATATTTTTATATAAGTGGTGAAATTTTTTTTTTTTAAGTTATTAACTTTTTAACATATAAATCAATGATATATAATATACCATCTAGTATGCTAATCACGTTAAAAAACATCTTCAAAAAGAGGAGCATGCTTCTTCTTCTCTTCGAAGAAAACTTAGCCTTCTTTTCTGTCCAATACCACAACATTTGTCATCATGATGTCCCAAATTAACGGCCCTCCTCCTCTTTTTTCAAAGAATCGTTCCATCTCCGAAAACCAATTCCTTTGCCTTTGAAAAATGACAAAAGCAAAGGAATCTAGCCTTTCTTTTTCTGCGAACATAATCATGATGTTCCCTCATCATTCCTCATCATCACATGCTCCATCCATTTAGCCGGAAGCTGGTCTGGAAACACACCAAACTCGACTCCTAAAAATACAATACGTCAAAAATATCACAAATATTTAAAATATCCAACTAAATTAGACAATAAAATAACTATAAAAAGACAAAATATATAGTATAAATATTCATTCACCAATCTTGCATTTCCAGATATTTTACTTGAAGAATCTTCAACCCCTATCGACCATCGTATTTATATTAGCATCTTGTTAATCAGTAATGGATATGGGAAACAAAAGGTAGGCAATGATTCAAAGGAGGGATTTGGATCCTATATGGAACCAAATTATGATTTTAAGAATTCTCATATTTTAATTATTTATCGTGTATCGTGTGATTATAAATTATTTGATTTTTTTATTTAAAATTAAATACAAATAATATCTGATGAAAACTGATCGCACGATAAACGATTAGGATGTCAAGATTCCTATGATTCCCACAAAGTGGATCCGGAGAGAATCCTCATATTCAAAGAAGAGAAACCTTTAAGGGAAATGATCCCCCTTTTTTTTTTATATGAAAATGGGGATTAGTTTTGGAGTCCACACCACATCAAACTTTAACAATCCGAACCGTTTATTTTTCAAGTTGGACCTCACAGATCATCATTGCAAAATATTAGCCAAATAAAAAATGTTTAAGATATCTAATTGACTTCAAAGAAATTAACGAATTATTTGTTATACAAGAAACAATGAAATTTTATCTTGATAATTAAATAAGCAAATTGTTTCAGATTGAGTTGAATTTTTGTTGGAATGATCTATGAAATGAGGCCTATAAAATAGATAGTTTGAATCCTTGAAATTAGATATAGAGTGAGCCCCACACATAATTCTCATTTAAAGAAAAAAGAGAAATCCCTTTGCATAGAGGGTTTGTTCAAATGAGAATGAACTATACGATAAATGACAACAAACAACTCACTGTTAAATAAAAACTCACCAAGTACCCACCAATAAACAATAATTATTAATTAATAAAGAAAGTGCTATTGGTATTTCAAAATTTTCATTTTACACTTCTTACAAATGTATTTTTATTTCTAAATATAGAAAATTTGGGATGTAGAATGAAAAATTTGGAATGCCAATAACAATTCCCAGTTCGCACTTCGTAGTCCCATCGCAGCCTCTACATATTCATCTCTCTCTCTCTCTCTCTCTCTCTCTCTTTCTTTCTCTCTCGATCTTTGATCACTCCTAGTCTCTCCTTCCCAGCGCCGACCCGCGACCCGCGACCTGTGAGCTTCTTCTTGCCGTTTTGAGTCTCGATAGCACAAACTAGATCCCCGCCTCGATTCCAAAAGGTTAGTCTCACATGTCTGTTTTAATTTTCCGTTGTATTTATCTGTTCAAATTGGTTCTGATTAGACAAATATGTGTGGTCCTGATAAACTGAGATCCATTTTTTTGGAAGTGGCTCCTATGGTTGTGATTGAACACTAATATCTATCGAAAAGCCCCATGGTTGTGATTGGACCAACATGCATTTATATTTGTTTTGTCTCACTTGAGTTTTGCCAGCCATCTCCCTCTAAATGCATGTTTTGGTGTTTTAAAATTTGAAAGTGGAATTGTTAGTTGTCTCTTTTATTTCGGCAGTGGACTAGTCATTTACATTGAAGCTTGAATTGTGAATTTTTTGAATTTTGGTTTTTATGATAACATGGAGTTATAGGTCCTTACACAACACGTCTTGTCTTCTACAGCTTCAACAAATGGATATGGTCGATGAGGGCCTTATGAGTATTTTAGATATGTGTAAAGGATTAGAAAACATAACTTTCCGAGTAGCATCCAAAACGGATTGGGTCGATGCAAAGTGCCTTGCAGGAGACGGAATTCACCTCAAGGTGCTAGAAAATGAAGTGCTTCTCAAGATGATCAATGAGATGCTCAAGGGACTGTCGACGGGAATGACAGAGAGGATTGCTGGATATATACTTATACTTGTGTGGAACATGAGATCCGAATCTGACAACAGTAGGCGCATCTTTCCGGAAAAGAGCCCAAGTAATCAAGGGATAGATGTTGAGGCCCTTTCTCACACAGTTGTATCACCCCCAGGGACAATCCCCATCAAGCTTTCTGCAGTAGGGCGAAACAGTTATTCCCTAAATGAGTGTGTCAGAGTTGGATGTTTTCTTGCTGCCTCTCTGTTAAAATTGTTCAGAAGAACTGCATACTCTTGGGACAAAGTCAAGTTTCATATACAGAGAGCGTACACTAACTATACTAAGGAACCGTGGCCATTGAAAGACCTCAATATCGTCGCCAGTCATGTTGGAAAACTCTCTCATTTATGGGAATATAATACCATATTCAGGGACACCCTGGGATCCATTCTATACTCCATAGGAGACCTTGAAGAGGGTCGAGGGATGGTTACAATGCTCTTTGCAGGGCATCTTGCATACACTGGAATGCATATTGTCGATTTGTTCTGCAAAGCTGTAACAGGTCTTCAGTGTCAACCGACTGATTTGATGAAAGCCTTACACTTACATACATCCATGTATAAGACTATTCTTGATGAGCTAAGAATTATAATTGAATCATATATAGGGTCGGAGGAAGAAGATAAAAAGAGACAGACGTTCCAGTATGCAAGACTGTTCGACAGTCAAATGTTCAATAATCTACAATCGAAGAAATGTGCCCATCTAGTCTGTATCTTAGCGTACCTTTGTCAACAATGTGGCAGTGCAGGAACTGGAGACGTAACCCAAATTGCAGTGATAGCAACCATTGGGCAAGAGGCTAAGGGCAGGTTCAAGGCAATTGCAATCAACATCTACAATTATATCGTTACCAATAATGAAATAGAAAAATAAGCCCACCAGTGAGAGTCCTTCTCACCATAGTGTGAGTTTCAGCTTTCTTCTCCGTTTTCCTGCGTAGCCGCTAGCCCTGTTATGGCTAAGGTCGGTGGCAGTCCATGCTTTTCCTATTTTCTTCTTCTTTTCTTTTCCCTTTTTCTGGTATGCAATAAGCTCATCCCCTTTTCTGTCCTTATCTACACCTTTCTTGCATCTATTTTCACCATTTAGATCCCAAATTCCATATCTTCCCCTTCCTATACCATCCTCACCATTTGGCCTCATTATCTTTCTAGTAAATCTCAATTCAATTCGCCTACCTTTTCTTGTGATTTTTCACATTTTAAAGGGACCCTTGTTGATTTTTGTTGGTCTTTCCCGGTGTTCGCCCTTGTTGGCGATGTCGTTGCTTGGATATTTCTTCTTATGGGCTTCCTTTGTTTCTGGGTGGCGTTCGTTTTGGTGGTCTGTGGAGGATGATGTGGCCTTATTCTTTTTCAACTTTGGCTTTCTGGATGGTGATGGGGGTTGGCTTCTATGCTTCGTTCTGAGGTGTGTCAGTGCTGGATGGAGTTTCTATAGTAGCTTTAGAAACTTTGGGTTCTATTTTGTGGTTTGTGTATGCTAGGCTACAAACTAGACTTGGGCTTGTTTGTTTTTTGTGTATTTGAGATCCACGTTGTTCCTTGTAATTAGTGTGTTCATGTACCTCTTTATGTGTTTTGTTATTGTGATATCTTCTTGTTGGTAATATCTTCTTTGTAATTAGTGTGTTTATGGACCTCTTTATGTGTTTTGTTTGTGTGCAGTACCTCTTTATGAATCTCAAAATTCAAACTCATCTAACGGTGATAAATAAGGTGGTGAGCAAAAATGCTCCCTTAATATTATACTGTTTTGGCTGTATGCTTTTTTTGTTCTTGGGATTCCTTTTATCTTAATAAAGTTTATTTTCTTAGAAAAAAAAAATTATACTTTTTTTATAATAGGTATTGACTGCCATGTGAATTTTGTATTGAACTAATTAGTAGTGAATTTACTTAAGGTTAGGGGACGGACATTCTTCTTCAACTCATTACATGCCAGATTCAAACTCTCTACTTTTTTAGTTTAAATTAAAATAAAATATTGTTTGTCATTCGAGAAAAAGAACGCATGCTTCAAATTCCTTCTATTCTTAGAGTTTTTACTTCATGTTGGGTTCCATTCTAGATACACTTGTTTCACATTCTTCCCACCAGTGGTAGATACATTGATGACCCCCCCCCCTCCCCCGAATTTCGGTAAACGTCTATGGATACCTTAGGCGTTGACCCTCCGAACTTCGGTGAATGTCTATGGATAACTTGGGTGCTGCCCTTTTAAAGATTAGAGTTTGCTTCATACATGCCCTCCAACTAACTTTAGGCCTACCAAGACTCGGTGAATGTTCATGGATACCTTGGGTGCTGCCCCTTGCATACATTAAAATGTGTGCAATATGTTTTTCTAAATGACTTTAGGTCTACCAAGACTCGATGAAATGACAATATGCATGCTATTTATGGTAAAGTCCCACATTCTAACTAGTAGTGTCCCTTTTTGGGCTGGGCTAGTGGGCTTCTAATTTTTTTCTAGTCCAAAGAAGCCTGAAATTCATTCATAACTCAGATTTTACTGCAAAAATAAAACCCTAAGCTGTGATTTGGGCTGTTTGTCCTCTTCAATTAACGAAAGATACCGGACTCGGAGGAGGAGGGAGATGCCGGAGGAGGACACCAAACGCCCAAAATCCATGACGCTGGCCGCCATCCCTTCCTTGGAGGACTTGTTGGCCAATTCTTGTTCGACCAGAGTCACCCTTACCCCCCAACAGCATGAAAAATGTGCCCTTGCTCTCAAATTCTTCAAAGACAAGGTCCGGATGCCGAACAGATCAACCGAGAGTGGGATCAATTAGATGCCATTTATATAACACAATCTGAGGCGGAGAAGCGTAGCACTGTGGCTCTCAACACTCTCAATTTCTGCAAAAACCGGTATGATGAATACGTAGCGTTCGACGAAAATAGGGTTGTTCTCAACTCTTGTGCGGCAGGGGCAGGGGACTACATCAATGCCAGCTTCATCGCAACACCATCTTCCTCCTCTTGTTTTATTGCAACACAAGGTCCACTTTCACACACCTTTGAAGCTTTATGGGAGATGGTCATCCAGTACCGTTGCTCTGTAATTGTCATGCTTACTGACTTGGTTGATAACAAATGTGGAGATTATTTTCAAGCCGATGACAACGACGGCGTTAGTAGTAGAGAATTTGGGAATGTATGTGTAGCCACTAAGTGGATGAGAAGAGTTGGTGGATTTGGAGATGGTAATTCGGATTCACTAGTATTGCGCCTTTTGGAGGTGAAGAAGAAGATTAATAAGGAACAGTCAACAGACTCAGACTCAAAGGAACCTTCACCGCCCATGTCTGTTTTGCATATTCAGTATCCTCAATGGCCCGACCATGGAGGTCCCGAAGACACATTTGCAGTTCGTGGAATTTTGAAAAGAGTGAGGTATCAGGTAACACTGGGCATACCCGACTGCGGCCCAATAGTGGTGCACTGCAGCGCAGGTGTTGGGAGAACTGGAACGTACTGCACCATTCATGATACACTGCAGAGAATTCTTTCGGGCGACATGTCGGCTTTAGATTTAGTAAAAACAATAACCACATTCAGGTCTCAGCGAGATGGAATGGTCCAGAAACCGGAGCAGTATCGTTTCTGTTATGGCTCCTACCACATACATATTTTTGGCTTCTGCAATCCCAGTCATTTCATTTGGTGAACAATTGGAGCGAAGTACTGGTGTTTTTTGCAACTCTTCAACTGCTCCAACTCCAAGTCTTAGAAATTATTTGTTTATTTTTACTTGTTTCTGTACAGTAGTATTCAGGGTGGCTATTTGGTTAACTTACACAATTATTTAGTCAATTAAATACACTTGTCTCGACTGTCTTGTATTAGATTTCCAATTCACAACATTAATAACTCCCTTTCAACTTGAAGGGCACAACGATATAAATCATATTTATTGTTCTTCTCTAATGGTCTCGCATTTCAATATAGTTTACTTGAAGAATCTTCAGCCCTTTTTGATCACCGTATGTATATTAGCCAGCAATGGGCAGGGGAAACAAAAGGTAGGAAATGACTCAAAGGAGGGATTTGGATTCCATCCAGATCCAAATTGTGGGAATCCTCACATCTTAACCATTTATTGTGTTTTGTGTGATCAGAAATCATTTGACTTTTTTTTTTATTTAAAATTAAATACAAATAGTATCTGACAAAAACTAACCGCACAATATACGATGAATGATTAAGATGTGGAGATCCCTAAGATCCCCACAAAGTGGATTCGGAAAGAATCCTCATATTCAAACGAGGGAAACCTTTAAGGGAAGGAATCCCCTTTTTTTTTTTTTTTTTTTTTAATTTAACTTTTTAATTTTATAAAATGGGGATTAGTTTTGGAGTCCATATCACATCAAACTTTAATGATCCGAACCGTGTATTTTTCAAGTTGCATCTGATAGATCATCTTTGCAAAGTATTAGCCAAATAAAAAATGTTGTTAAAATAAATTAATGAATAATTTGTTATATAAGAAATAATGAAATTTTATCTTGATAATTAAATAGGCAAATAGTTTCGAATTGAATTGAATCTTTGTAATAATGATTTATGAAATGAGACTTACAAAATAAACAGTTTGGATCGTTGAAATTCGATATGGAGTGAGCTCCACACATAATTCTCATTCTTTTTAAAAAAATGAAAATCCCTTTGCATAAAAGGTCTATTCAAAAAATACTGAACTATACGATAAATGACAACAACTCATTAAAAACAGTAATTATTAAATAAAAACGACCAAGTACCCACCAATATACAATAATTATTAATTAATAATCCTAATAGTGAAAACGGCGTCGTTTTCCCCTAGCGTAACCCTAAACTATCGTCTTTCTCTCCCAATTCCCAGTTCCCAGTTGGCACTTCGCAGTCCCATATAGCCTCCGCGTACTCAACTCTCTCTCTCTCTCTCTCTCTCTCTCTCTCTCTCGATCTTCGATCACTCTCAGTATCTCCTTCCCAGCGGTGACTAGCGACTCGCGAGCTTCTTCTTGTTGTTTTGAGTCTCGACAACACATACCAGATCCCCACCTCGATTCCAAAAGGTTAGTCTCACATGTCTGTTTTAATTTTCCGTTGTATTTATCCGTTCAAATTGGTTTTGATTGGACAAATTTGTGTGGTCCTGATAAACTGAGATCCATTTTTCTGGAAGTGGCTCCTATGGTTAGTATCACTTGAGTGTTGCCAGCCATCTCCCTCTGAATACTTGTTTTAGTGTCTTAAAATTCGAAAATAAAATACTGAATATCCCAAACCAAACTGAAAAATTCCCGAAACCGAATTAAAAAAATACCAAACCGAAAATCCCAAAACGTTCGGTACCAAATACCGAACCAAACCGAAATTTTCGGTATGGGAATCAGTCTCAAGTTTTCGTTTTTTCGGTAATTTCGAACCGAACCGATAAAAAAAAATTTTAATTTTTAAATATATATTTGAAATTGTAACAACCGTCGAATTCGGTGGAGATCTAATCTCAACCGTTGAATAGAAATCAAACCTACACTGAGTACACTCTGTCTCCGTCTCTCACGACACTCTGAGTCACCCTCTCTCTCGCGGCTCGCCCAAGACTGAAACCCTCGCCTCACTAGAAAACGTCTTGCCGATTTGTCTCTTCGTTTTCGAATCCGGCTACACAAGTGACTCACCTGAGTCACATATCTCTCAACTATCATCTCTCTGATCTCTCTCAGTCTCTCTCGACTTCTCATCCCTCACAGTGGAGGAGCCTTCCTACACGAATCACGGCCACCGGCGCCGCTCTCCTTCTCAGTCTCTCTCGGCTATCATTTTTTTGAACTCAACCTGTCTTATTTTCAGGTTTCTGAGGAGGGTATTTCAACATTTACCTACATTATTGTTGACAACGAAACGTGAGGACCTTTTCTTATATCTGTTATGCTCTCTCTCTCTCTCTCTCACTCACACACACACACGTGCTCGCATGCACACACAGAGAACCTTGTGGTAATCTGACTGTATTGCTTAACGCAACCTATTTTCTTCTTTCTTCATTTTGAATCTGATCTGATGCATATGACTGTAGCTAGTGTTAGGCATTGGCCATAGTTGCAAAAAACTATTGCAGTCTGTGTACTTATTAATGAGATAGTGATTATTATGTTGAATGTTTCTGGATGAAGGTTACCATTTTATGATTTTATCCCACTATATTATGAATGTGACATTACATATTAGAACAGCCTGCAATATATGTTGAAGAATATAAAAATTACAAGATAGGCTGGAGCAACAGAGGGGCTCTAGTGTTATGTTGATCATTGTATCATGATTCATGCCTTTTCGAATGAAGAATGATCAACATTTTAAATCTGTTGCCATAATCAAATTGACTGTAACTTCTTTGGTCCTATTGGTTATATGATATTGAATGTCTTTGGTCCTCTCTACTTTAATTTCTGATGTTCCTACATGATTTTTACGGGGTGTCCAGCGTTTTCAAGAATTTTTTGCCCAAATGAAGTACAAAGAAGCTACTGAGCTTGCTGCGGATACTGTTGCTAAATTTCAGGTTTCCATTTTGCTTCTGTATTTGTACATGTTTCTTTCTTTAAGCAGTATTTCTCTCTTCAAATGATTTTGTCCTGGATGTGTTTCACATGTATGATGTGTCTAATATTTTTGTTTTCAGTTCTATTTGTATCAAGCTTCTGGTATGCAGTTTGATGTGTGGTGGTAGTTCTTGTTCTTTGGGTGTTTGATATGTCTGACAGTCTGAGTGTTCTCTAATTGGCTAGATCTGATACATAGTACGTATACAATTTTTCTAGTAGTCGAACATTTATGAGTAATGTTAGTGATGCTTTGTAGAGGTTAGGAGAATTAAATGAATTCAAGTGGCTGCATCTGTGTCAAAACCGGTGAGAAATGAATATATACTAAATGGTAATCTAGTGGATTAAACTGAGATGCAACATACTTGGTCAAAAGACATATTGTACTTGATAGGTTTAGATTGGGATTCCCGATTGTCCCGAAATCCTGAAACTATTTTGGGATTCCCGAAAATTTGGTTTGGGATCGGTATTGAATTTGGGATTCCCGAAAACTTCGGTTTGGGAATCGGGACTTGCATATCGGTTCGGTATCTAGGAAAGACATCAGCACCACTGCAGGGTGACTAAAAATCTTAAATGAATTCTTATTATTTTGTTTGAATTAGATGAAGTCAAAGTCAAAGGCCTCAAGCTCAAATTCAAACTCAATGAGATCAAAATCAAATAGATTTACCTATTCATGTGTTTTGTTTGTGTGTAATATCTTCTTGTTGGTAATAGATTTACCTATTCACCAAAAAAGAAAAAAAATTAATATTATACTGTTTTGGCTGTATGCTTTCCTTGTTCTCGGGATTCTTTTTATCTTAATAAAGTTTATTTCCTAGAAAAAAAAAAAATTATACTCTTTTTATAATAGGTATTGGCTGGCATGTGAATTTTGTATCGAACTAATTAGTTGTGAATTGACTTAGGTTAGGATATGGCATTCTTCTTCAACCCATTACGTGCTAGATTCAAACTCTCTTTTTTTTTAGTTTAAATTAAAATAGAATATTGTTTGTCATTCGAGAAAAAGAACGCATACTTCAAATTCCTTCTATTTTAGGAGTTTTTACTTCATGTTGGGTTCCATTCTAGATACACTTGTTTCACATTCTTCCCACCACCCTTCTTCAATCCTTATTCATCCCATCCTGTCTTTCTTGTATTCTCTCTTTATTTCAAACCAAAAACTCAAAACTAAAAACAAAATAGTCTACCGGCTACTGGTGCTATTGACACTCCAATATCACAAACAGGAAAAATGAAAACTTGGAAGAGGGGCAATTTGATTTTGTAGGGACTTGTGGAGGAGTTTGGCTTACCAGAAAGAGAAGATACTAGTTTACTACAGTTTATACCTTCATAGAGGTTTGCAAATGGAATGTTTGCTTTGGTGTTGTCATTTGGCCTTCTTCTCACTGCATTAAAAAGCAGGAAAGCTAGGTCGTGGCGCTATCTATGGCACTTTTTGGTGTTGCAGGTTGGCTAATAAGAAGCTTTGCAGCAGATTCTGAGTCCTACATTCTAATTAGTAGTGTTCTAGGCTGGGCTAGTGGGCTTCTAATTTTTTTCTAGTCCGAAGAAGCTTGAAATTCATTCACAATTCAAATTTTACTGCAAAAAGAAAACCCTAAGCTGTGATTTGGGCTGTTTGTCCTCTTCAACTATTGAAAGATGCTGAACCCGGAGGAGGAGACCAAGAGGAGGAGGAGGGAGATGCTGGAGGAGAAGGGCATCAAACGCCCAAAATCCATGAAACTGGCCACCATCCCTTCCTTGGAGGACTTGTTGGCCAATGCTTGTTCAACCAGAGTCGCCCTTACCCCCCAACAGCATGAAAACTGTGCCTTTGCTCTTAAATTCTTCAAAGACAAGCTCCGGATGCCTGAGCAGATCAACCGAGAGTGGGATCAGTTAGATGCCATTTATATAACACAATCTGAGGCGGAGAAGCGTTGCACTGTGGCTCTCAACACTCTCAATTTCTGCAAAAACCGGTATGATGAATACGTAGCGTTCGACGAAAATAGGGTTGTTCTTAACTCTTGTACGGCGGGGGACTACATCAATGCCAGCTTCATTGCAACACCATCTTCCTCCTCTTGTTTTATTGTAACACAAGGTCCACTTTCACACACCTTTGAAGCTTTCTGGGAGATGGTCATCCAGAACCGTTGCTCTGTAATTGTCATGCTTACTGACTTGGATGATAACAAATGTGGAGATTATTTTCAGGCCGATGACAACGACGGCGTTAGTAGTAGAGACTTTGGGAATATATGTGTAGCCACTAAGTGGATAAGAGGAGTTGGTGAATTTGGAGATGGTAATTCGGATTCACTAGTATTGCGCCTTTTGGAGGTGAAGAAGAAGATTAATAAGTCATCAGACTCAAACTCGAAGGAACCTTCACCGCCCATGTCTGTTTTGCATATTCAGTATCCTCAATGGCCCGACCATGGAGTTCCCAAAGACACATTTGCGGTTCGTGGAATTTTGAAAAGAGTAATGTATCAGGTTGCACTCGCCATATCCGAATGCGGCCCAATAGTGGTGCACTGCAGCGCAGGTGTTGGGAGAACTGGAACGTACTGCACCATTCATGATACATTGCAAAGAATTCTTTTGGGGGACATTTCTGCTTTAGATTTAGTAAAAACAATAACCACATTCAGGTCTCAGTGAGATGGCATGGTCCAGAAACCGGAGCAATATCATTTCTGTTATGATGCCGTCATTGATGAATTGGAAGAGCTCATCTTGGGTGGATCCCCACATGGCAGTTAATATATAGTGAAGTCAACTAAGCTCCTCCAGTACTTGCTTTTGATAGGACATGAGCTTCTTTACTTATGCAAACTTGAGGTATATTCGATCTGAATAATTGACATGGAAATCAGAATTATATTTCAGTTATGCAGCTAGATTCAGATTTCAGAATTACATTTCAGTTTCCATCTTTAATTGAAACTTGGAACTCTGTGAAGAGTCCCTTTGATTTATGAATTCCTTACTTGCAGTTTGTGTTTTTAATTCTTGCTTTATGCTTCTCCTCCATTGAACGTTAATGCCCTCATATACATGCATCTTCTGTGTAAGCCCCTCCTGGCTAGTTCTGCAAAACTTTGGATGTCTAGTGTTGATGATTCTTGCATTATTCTATCGGATGATAGGAGGATGCTATTGCCATACATTCCTAATTTTCTTTGTCCTAACCTAGGTGGCAATGTGTAATTGGATTGTAGAAACCATTGTTTCTTTCTTTATGTAATATGATATGGAGAGGTTGGGAAATAAACGTTGAAACTTATTTGAATTATACTACACTCAACAATAGAGGTTGGTTATCTTCAGTTGGGTTGATCACCCAATGAGAGATTCAAATTACACTGGGGGGTTTTTGATATGCAGACCCCCAATTTCTTTGGTGATGCATAGCATTTTTGGCTGGGGAATGAAGTTTATCAATCATGCTCATGCATTTGAGACCATGTTTATTTCCACTGAGAAAAGTTCAAATGGCAATATATAGGCTAGAGAGAAGGTGCTCATGTGTAGTACGTTTCTAGAAGTAACATGGAGTCAATTACACCAAGTATATGTTGTATGCGTTGGACTCTTGTTTTACAAGTGTATCATATGTTGGTTGTAGTTCAAAATTTCACCGAGCTTCCTCTAGCTTTTTCATTAGCTGAAATTTGCATTACAGGGTAGAGGAAATTGTGGCATGGTATCAATGCATGGACTATTGTTTCAACAGCAGTTTACTGCATAAATTGTTCGAGTTGTTGCTCTTCTTCCTCTTGCCGTAAATTTTTCCCCTTCTATGAGCAAATCTCACTCAAGCAAGTTATTTGTTTATTGATGGTAGTGAAGAGAATCAGCAAGCCAGGCTTAAACTTCAAGTTATTTATAATGTGCTTGTATAGTTTGTATGAAGTCTGTATAGAGCTATGGCAATGTCTGTAAAGTCTGTCTGAAGCCGTGCTGCCTTCCCACCACTTCCTATGTTTCAAGCACTGTCATCAGAGAAGATCTGAGAACCAAAAGGGGAAAAATGTCCATTGCATCACCTCTGTAATGTTTTCAGCTGAGCATCCAGTTACATCATCATCTGCAATGCGAATAGCTTATTCAATTGTTTCCACAGAGAATTTGCAAAGGGATTGGTGAATTGCTTCCATAGAGGATCAGTGGCTTTAACATGTGGTGCCCGTTTTGTGAGGACGGTATGAAAATGAACTCCGAGGGCAACTGCAAGGAGAGCGATCTGTTTTACCTTTAGACTGGCCTAAGGATGGCAATTCAAACTGTTAAACCCGATAATCATGAATAATCGTCCGAATGTAACGGATTGGGGGATGAAAATTTGGTTATATTTCGGATATGGGGAAAAATCGGAAATATTATTCGGTTATGGTTATAAAGGTTTTCAATTCATATCCTTTTCCGAATCTGACCCGAATAATACATATTATGTTACAATAATATATATATATATATATATATATATATATATATTCACTGAAACTCATTACTTTGAGAATTATGAAAGTTGCATTTTGTGAGAAAGTTCAAAAGTTTTGAATCAAAACTAATGAGAATTCAATGGTGCTTATAGGAGAGTTCAAACATAAGACATCATCATCAATGTATTTATTATATTGTAGTGATGAAATTAGTATTTATTATATTATAATGTGTCAGTTGAACAAATATATTTTTGAAATTGACGAAGATGGACATAACCGTTAAATGATGGGAAATCTGTTACTCAGTGGGTATGGTTATTGATAATACTCAATAATGGTTAATTTGTGGTTATGGATATGGTTGGTTTTTGTGGTTACTTCCGTCCCATAACCATGAAAATTAACCATATACCCATTGGTTAACAGTTATCAATAACCATACCCACTAGGTTTAGGGACGGTTATGGATATAGTTAATTTGGCTCGATTTATTTTGATTTGATCCGGTTCAGTTTTAGTTATTTTTTACTTAGAAATTGGAGAGAAATGAAGAAAAGAAAATCTAGAGATTTGAGAAGATAAACAAAAGCGTTTAATTGATAAATACTTCAACTTCAAAAAAATCATTAATTGGTGGAATATCATGATGTTGCATTCGGATTACAGTGTGCCCTTGATGATCATTTGAATTGAGAGAGCCTATCATAATAAATAAATAAGATAAATAAAACTTGCCTTAATGGCCAATGAGAGGTGGGCCGAATGCCGAATAAACATATAATTTCGGGGAAGCCCAATTGAGTGCCAAACCGGGAGCGCTCACTTCGTGGGAACAGAAAAAAGGAAAAGGAAGGGAGCGAGAGAGAGACAGAAAAGCTTCGCAGTTGGGAAGTGCGAAAATGAAGGCTTACGGCTCTAGCGGTGATTGGGAAACCATCGGCAATGGAGCTTACGGAATAGTTTTCAAAGCCAAGGTCAATGGCACAGAGGACTTCGTTGCCATCAAGAAAATTGAACCAGACATGGATGGTATCGTTGGGCTGCATCCTGAAATCATTTGCGAGGTTACTCTTTTGCGGAGGGTCAATCCACACCCGCACATCGTGCGTTTTGACAATGCTGTGCCGGTAATGGAGGTGGGGAAGGATAAACCCACCATGTATCTCATATTCGGTGAAATAAATGTTTACCAACACATTAAAGTTTCGACACATGCCTCATAAATCGTACACACGGATGTGATTCATCAAAATCAGACAAGTCATTAAGAATGACACGTCTTAATACTTACACATCTACACATCTTTTGGAGATCGAATGAGAAAAAACTTGTAATCAGAAATTGTAACCCTACAAGTTCATTAGTACAAATTTATTTTCTCTTGTTATTTGCTACAGTAAATACGTGTTTACATGCACATCCGAGGAATTTCGATTAACTTCTTTGCGAGCCGCTGTTCCTTCTTTGGATATGGATGGATTGGACCTCCTGTCTGTAAGCTTTATTTCTTCTAGTATTTAGTGTTTGTCATCATTCAATCAAGTACACATTTTGATGGCATTTTTCACACTTCAGTAGTCTCTGATAAAATGTAGTTCCCTTGTTGCTTTCGCTCATGAATATCACGTGTACCATTCATTTCAATACATATTGAGGAGGATTTTGTTGAAATTTTTGAATCGCCTGGTCCGTCCCACTCTAACGATACTGATACTGTCCCCACCTTTACTATCTGCCCAATCCGTTAGGTGTGAGATTTTACCACAAAAGGCCTCGATATTAGTTAAAGTGGGGTAATACTATTTAAACCCCTTGGTTTCTTTTTACCCCACCGATGTGGGACTTTGACACTCCCCCTCACGTGTAATCTCATTTAGTGGTTCACATGTGGAGATCCACATCGGTAATTGAAACTCAAAGGTCGGCTCCCGTTGAGCCCACTTGTTTTCAATGGAACTTAGCGGTCATCTCTATATTAAGAGTTCAGACTTGTTTCCTTACGGGTGACAAGCCCATTGGCTTGCACGGGCCGGCACCGTGGGCTTTGATACCCTGTTGAAATTTTTGGATCATCCGACCCGCTCCACTCTAATAACACTGATACTGTCCCCACCTTTACCACCTACCTAATCCGTTAGGTGTGGGGTTTTACCACAAAAAATCTCGGTATTAGTTAGAGTGGGGTAATACTATTTAAACCCCTTGATTTCTTTTCACCCCATCGATGTGGGACTTTAACAAATTTTACAACAGGCTTACGTATTGCTCATGTGTTTAGTCAGTGGTTAAGTATTTAGAAAGAAAGAAGGTCAACTTACGGTGATGATGATGAAGTTGGGCGTAGACTTGTAAACGGGTTGGGTTTATTGGGTTTGGGTCGGATTCAACCTGATCCGTTAATTTAACGGGTCATCCGAACCCAACCCATTAAGCTAACGGGTCACCCGAACCCAACCTGTTAAACCTAATAAGTCACCCGTTTCATCCGTTTCACCCGTTAACAATTTTTATTTTTTTTGTTTTTTTTTATTTTTTTATTTTTAACATTTTGCATTCCAATACAAGTTACACATTTTTTACCCAAAATTACAAATATTAACTAACAATCTAACAATATATATATATATATATGTATATGTATATGTATCAGACTACAATCTTCCAAATCAACTAATTAATAAAACTCCATAAGGGTTTTACAAAATGTGAAGCATAGCTATACGCCATGGGGCAATCGAACACCCAAAAATCTTCCAAATCAACTAATTAATAAAACTCTGTAAGGGTTTTCCAAATCAAGTAATTAACTAACAGTCTAACATCTTATGCCCTATTCAACATCACCAAGATGTACCGCCCAATTACATCGCTACTTCAAGGAAGAATTTGCATATTGAAGACCCAAAAATCTGCAACACACCCACAAAACACAATTAAACTCAACCCAATACAGCAAATTCAAATAAACAAGGATGCTGGAAGTAGTGAATTCATAGGCAAACAAAACAAGTTTTCACTTTATTGTGGAAAATACAAAGTCCAAACCCGGGATCTCTTTTGACGTATCTTACCTACTCGTATACCTTTAGCCTTTCTCTTTGAAGGACTTGGTGCACTTGTTGTACCTTGCGTATCACTTAGATTGACTGTTGACATTTCCATAACCTCAGTGTTCTCTTCATCAATATCCATCTGCACTAACCACAAGCATAAGATGCATCAGATGCCAAGGAAGTTGAGACAACGAAAATGCAGAGTAGCATGTTAGTTAACAGTTAACTTAATAAAAAGCAGGATGAATCTCTCTTGTTGTGGTGGATGATCCCTATTTCCTTCGGTTTTACGTTTCTCTTTAGAGTGTTCTTTTGACCCGAAGCATGCCATTCAAAAACCTGTGATTGGGGATTAGGCTATTAGCTATATTTATAAGACTATTTTCATAGTTTTCTTAAATTTCAAGTTCTTATTACATTCACAAGTAATAAGAGAAAAAACTAATGAAGACTTGCTGCCAACCATTTTTAAAATGGTCTTCAAAATGAAAGTGTGTGGTCCGAAACTGCGGTAATGAACCATCAACTTATAGGCAGTTCACTTTGAGGGAGTATAAACTCCAAACTCAAATTGATGTTCAGGAAATTGGTGAGAAAGTAGGGCTCTCAAGATTTCTCCTTTGAAAAACGTCTCAAAATTGATGGCAAGTAAACTATATATAGATATATGTAAAAGAGGACAATAATTGTGAAATAACAAAGTATAGTTTGTGAACCATTTTTTTCTTTCTTTTATTCATTAAGTGTCAGCTATCTTCCTTTTGAATTTGAAGGATCGTGAGTCCTTCACAAGTATGAAAATAGTCTTCATTTTGGCAGTATCTAGTGGCAGCAAGTCTTCATTTTGTTATGTTGTGAATCCTGAGAGTACATTCACAAGTATGAAAAGAACTAATCTTTCTAAACTACATTGTAACCATCTACCTAATCCTAGTAGTCCAATTTCACACAACCCCATTTCAGAAAACAATCGAAGACCCACAATTTTGCAAACAATTCCAACCCTAAATTCATTCCAACCATCAAACCCATGAAGCAATTTTAATTTTGAACACCCACAAAAAAGAGACAACGAAAGCAGCATGAAACAAAACCGGATCCACACTTTCAGAAGAACCCCGAAACAAAAACATAAGAAATCGGATCCAAAACAACAAAAAACCATATTTTAGAGAGAGAGAGAGAGAGAGAGAGAGAGAGAGAGAGAGAGCATTACCAGGAGCAATCTTGAGGAGGGACAAAAGAGAAGTTGCAAGAAGATGATAAGGGAGATAACCGGAGGTCCGGCGCTAGAAGGGAAGGAGCACGGTGTGCGCGAGACCCGTTTATGGGTTTTAGCTGTTTGTTTGTTGATTTGTGGGGTGGCCGGTGAGAGTGGAGATGGACTGAGGTCTGAGGGTTTCTATTAAGACTATTGAAATTACACAAAAGTCCTCAATAAACGGGTGATTAACGGGTTTTGCAGGTTCATCCCAAATGACCCGTTATTTAACGGGTGATTAATGGGTTGACCCGTTAACCACCTGACCTGTTTATCGCCCACCCGAAAACTAATTTTAACGGATCGGATCGGGTTGGGTTAACGGGTCGGGTTGAAAATGCCAGGTCTAGTTGGGCAGATGTCATTTAGCAAGGTTTGTTCTTTCTTGTATTGTTTTTTTTAATATGTAGGTTGATGAAGCTTCCACTTGGCTGGAATCTTTCCTATAAGACAATGTATTTGTATCCTTTTAGCTTTTAAATGAGTGCTTTTCCTGAAGGAAAACTACTAGTTCATCTTATCACTTGAATTTGCCATATTTGATTGTTGCTGGTTGTTCTGTGATTGCTTTAAATTGTGCATCTCTTTCTCAATTATGCTCCGAGTCTAATAGTTTATTGCTCTGTGGACAATGCAGCAAATGCTCACATATAATCC